AGCAGAGGACAAAAAGGGCACATCATTCTTCCCTAAGTCTTCCTCATTCAGCTATTAATAGCTTTGTGTGTGTATGTAAGCCTCACCTAGTCCTTGAGTGTTTTTCTCAACAGAGAACATCCAAACTAAAACAATAAAAATATACAAATTCTTCTATCTCTCAGTGTTCTCCTAAAGAGAAAGCATTTCATCCCTGAAATCAGCTCTCTATCTGTCAGTCTCCCAACGGAGACAGAATTTTTTTCTTTAGGTATTAATTGAGATTTTTCAGTAGCATAGGGTTTGGTCAGGATATCAAGGTTTCACAGTTAGCTCTGCCATATTTGTGATACTGGGAAACTCTTTCATACATTTTGGAAATATTTCTTCTTATGTCTACCATGTAGCTATTTTTGAAAAAGAAAGGAAGCTCTTGCAGGCAAATATCCATACACGTTTCTCCTATTGTCTTTAGAAACGGAGCTGCTTACCTAAATGTGGGCTGGGATCTGAAAACCGAATCAAGATCTGTTTGTCTCCCTTCTGAATGGTAAGTGGTAAGCCAACATTTACATTTGTTTATCTTTCCCTATCCTACCCCTTTCTGCCTTTCCTAATTTCTCTACTTATGAGTATTGTAGACATTATTATTTCCTGTCTATCATCTTTTCTTTTGCTTGGCTGCTTCATATGGTTGTAATAGAGGCATATGATAAAAATCATGTGCTCTATCTCTCACAGCCCTGAAGTGCTGACATCTATTTTATCTGATTACTGTGTCCTGCTTCTGGGCACCCAAGGCAGAGTTTCTCTGGACATTCAACAAAAGGATGAGTCTCTTCCTGTAGACTGGAAGTACATCAAAACATTCCACCATTCACGGGTTCATTTAACAAGTGTTTGTCAAATGCCTAAAAGAAGCCAAATATTGAGATTGGTTCTGAAGATCTGGAACAAAATGAGTATGAGCTCCATAATCAAAGAGCTCATGTGAAAGTCAGAACAAATAATTACAATTACGTATTTCTAGAGTGATCAAATGATAAATAAAATGTCAAGAATATAAGATGAGAGGGATATATAAGTGGAAAACGTTGGGAGATTAGCATTAAGAAGAATTTTTTAAAGTCCCTATCAATGATGTAATATGAATACATTATCTTTCAGCATGCATTTTTTCCCTTGCTATGATTGCTTTGCCCTGTAACAGCATACCTTCTTAATTACTCTGACATTACCGTAAGTACTGATGTTTGAAAGATAAATCATCTTTTTTTTCCCTTTGGCTGCTCCTGGGAATTTGATCTTGAATATAAATATTATAGTATTAGTTGTTAATCCAACAAACACACAATTAAAATAATCAACTTGAGATTTGAGTGAATTGTATTGACTCCAAAAATCTTCTGGGACTAGGTGAAGCTGAGAGAATTGTCTTAGAATTCATGGATATAACCACTTATCTTAAAATTCTTTAGGATGCTTCCTTAAGGGTTTGAAAATTTCTTCGTAAAGGTCTTTATTCATGAGATACTTGATATAGTTTGAAAGATAATATATGATATATTTTCTAGATTTAATTTTCTGTCAGTTTATTTAATACAAAAATGCAGGGAAGTTTAACATAATGACTTTCGTTCTGAAAACTTTGCTAAGCGCTCTTAATTCTGATAACTTGTCAGCACCATCTTTTGAATTTCCTATGGATGTATTCTGTCAAAAAAAAAAAAAGTCCAGTTTTGTTTCTTCTTTCCCAAACTTCATTTTCTTTACTGGACTGGCTAGAATATTCAATATAATGTTGAAGAAAAGTAGATAAAGCCATCACATTTATCTCATTCTTAGTTGTGAAGAAAACCGTTCAATACCTTGCATCATGTATGATGTTCGCTGTAGGATTGTTGGTTGTGTCGATCAGCTGTGAAGGAATATTTTATTCCCAGGCTTCTACAGGTTCTTCTCAATTGCAAATATTGAAAAAAAAAAGTGTTAGTAGCAATTCAAATAATCAATGACTTTTTCCCTTTTAAACACCTTTTTGATGTAAACATAATAGGAGTCTTAAATAACATTTTATGGTGAAACAAGCTTTTGACATTTAACCATATTGCATACTGATGCTTTAATTTGGAATAGCTCATCCAAGAATTTGACATCTATATTTCAAAGGGAGATTGGCTTGCGAGTGTTTTCTATGATAATGTAACATTGAAACTTTATTAATACTGTGTCTTAAGTTCCTTATGTTTTCTTCTTATTGGAGTTATTTCTTTTAAGATTTTAAATACAATTAAGTAATTTCTCTCTTCTTTCTGCCTCCAAACCTTGCCACATACTCTCCTTTGTTTTCTTTGAAATTCAATATCTTTTTTGTGTTAATTGCTGTTACATGCATATATATTCCCAAATACAACCTGCTCAGTCTGTATAATGTTAGTTTTGTGATGTTTTCAGGGCTGAACATTTGACACCAATTCATGTGCTCTTTTCTGGAGAAGACCATCTGTCTCTCTCAGCATTGTCCCTTTGATCGTGGATTTTGTGTATGCTTGAAGCCTTGTGGCCCACTCCCATCTATTTGGCAAGTCCATTAGTTTTGTCCTTATTCAGATCATGTTTGAACAGCTGTTTTGGTGAGAGTTTACATGTCTAGCTTCCGATGTTACTAAGGGACAAAAATCTCACAGCAAACTCCCTGATCCTCTGGTCCCTCTTCTGCAATGTTCCCTGAGGACTGGGTACAAGAATGTTTTGTAGATGTATCCATTGTGGCTTTGCTCCACAGATCTGCCTTTTGATTGCTTGTGTTTTTCCTACTTGAGAATTGGTATTGCCCATTCTCTGTGGACTAGACCTTCTTGAATCAATTAATAATTAACAGTCCCCCCCAAAAGACATGACCACAGACCAACCTGGTCTAGGCAATTCCTCAGATGAGGTTTCTTCTCTGAGATGACTCTAGGCTGTGGCACTTTGAGAATTAACTCTGACCAAGACACAGGTTTTTCAGGCATTTAATTTATTTGGTTTTTATTGGTTCTTTGATAGTTCATACAATATTTTTGTTCATTATCACCCCTCCCCAACGTCTCGCTTCCCTACTCACCAACTTTGTATCAGTCCTTTAGCCCATCAAGTCCAGTTTGTGTTAGTTTTATATTCTTAGATATAAATGAAGCATGGTCAACCTACCAGGGACAAAATTAAGTCTTAAAGAAAACTAACTCTTCTTTTCCGGAAGCTATTGGTTTCCCAAAGCTCCACACTTGGAGTAGGATTTCATACCTACCTCCTTTCCCTGTGTTGAGATTTGGTCTGAGCTTGGACAGGATTGTGCCTGTAAAAATTGCTCTGACTTCTTATGTACAGCTGTCCTGTTGTGCCTGGAGGACACTGTCTCCCTGTATTCACTGACCACCTCTGGCACTTATAGACTTTTGGCAACTTCTGAAGCAATGATCCCTGTGCCTTTGAGCATTCTGTGAGCTTATTTTGAACCATGGCCAAATGTAGATCTCTGTGAATCACCATCTAATGAGAACAGAATGTTCTCTGATAAGGACTGAGATATTAATTAATCTATGAGTATAAGGATAAGTCATTAGGAGTCAGTTTACTATGTATATTTAGAAGAATGGTTGTTGTAAGTTTTCACCTAATGATGATAACTTGTCTAGCCACGTCTTTGGCACACCAATGATGTCAGCTATGAATTTCATGATTAAACATCCATGACTAACTTATTCCTAGGAGTGAAACCACGTTATTTTACTAAGTATATATTGAAATAAAATTGTGACACTGTGCTTTCTATTTTTTTCCCTAAAACTTCTCTAACTAGGTTTCTTTATTGTTTGAAAAGAGAGTTTATTCATGTTTACTCTTATTTTTTGGTCAATTTAATTATCATCCCATGTTTAAGTTTATAAACATTTACCTTTAAAAACATTTACCTTTGTATACCTTATCAATTTATTCTTCGTTTATCCTGTTATCATCAAATACATTTTATTTTTATTCCTACTTTACATTTGTCTTGTTTTCTTTTTAATAACTTGATGAAATAGACATTCTGTTACCCTTTTTAAAAAAAATAAACACCTTAAAAAGTATAAATTTGAATGTAATAATTTTCTGAGTATATCACAGTGATGTTTTGGTACATCATTATTTCATTACTATTTGTTTCTAAATAGTCCCAAGTTAGCATCATGGGCTAGAATTCCAGACATTGTTTTTTTTTTTTTAAGATGTCTTTTGTTCTTGAAAATTTCTAATTTAATTATGTTCTACTCTAAGACATTTTTTTCTCTTTTATACAATAATCTAATTCAAAAACTTTCAAAACTAATTCCATTTGCTATAGGCAATCATTATGTAAAGGATCAAAATTGACATGGAATGACTGCTTTACCACAGGCTCTTAGGTAAGGCTAATTACATTCTGTCTTTATTTCTAGTCCAAGACCACAGCCTATCATTTCTGAAAGAATGAGTTAGTCTTTCGTTGTTTTTTTTTTTTTTTTTTTTTAATTTTAACTTTGTGTATGCTCTTGTTTGTGCAAATACACATCCTTGTGCAGGCTTGTGTGATTGTGCATGCAGGGGTGGCAGCCAGGTGCCAACCTCAGCCATTGTTGTTTAGAGGTCATCAATTTTGATGTATTTTTAAATTTTTTAAGGCACCGTCTCTCATGAGCTTGGAACGTACTGAGACTAGACTGACTGCCCTGTAAATCCAGGCATCTGCCTGTCTCTATCTGCACAATTCTGGGATTACAACCACATGTCCCTGCCTGGTTGTGACTTATATACTTTCAAAATGTAAGTTTTAGTGATTGAATTTAGTGGGCTGTTCTTGGGAGAAAAGGACACGATGGATTTACAGATTCAACCATGAAGTTTTGAACTGAGTCTCAGATGTGTAAAATCTTCTCTCTACTATGTACTCAGGGTCAAGGTTATCACTGGCAATAAGACATTTTGTTGACCTTTTTTATATTTCAGACCTAAGCTCCTCAATGAAGAGAGCCAACTGCACAGAGGTAAGAGAGTTTGTTTTCCAAGGTTTCTCCAACTTCCAAGAACACCAGCTTACACTCTTCGTTGTCTTCTTTACCCTGTATATCCTGACTCTGGCTGGCAATATCATCATTGTGACCATTATCCGTATTGACCACCGCCTTCACACCCCCATGTATTTCTTCTTTTTTTTTTATTTTTTTAATTTTTTTATTTTTATTTTATTTTTCTTTTTAGTTACATTTTGTTAACTCTGTGTCCCAGCTGTATCCCGCTCCCTCATTCCCTCCCCAACCCCACACTCCCTCCCTGGTCTCCTCCCTGCCCCTTTCCAAGTCCCCTGATAGGGGAGGACCTCCTCCCCTTTCATCTGACCCTGTTTTATCAGGTATCTTCAGGGCTGGCTGCAAAGTCCTCCTCTGTGGCCTAACAGACTGCTCCTCCCCTGGGGTGGGGGTCAAACAGCCTGCCCTTGAGATCCTATTAGAAATAGTCCGTGTTCCCCTTACTTTGGAAAACTACTTGGTTACTGAGCTACCACAGGCCACATCCGAGCAGAAGTTCTAGGTTATATCCATAGATGGTCCTTGGTTGAGTGTCAGTCTCAGAAAAGACCCTGTGCCCAGATATATTTGGTCCTTGTGGAGCTCCTATCCTTTCCATATCATACTAACTTCCCTTCTTTCATATGATTCCCTGCACTCTGCCGAGGGTTTGGTTATGAGTCTTAGTGTCTGCTTTGAAACACTGCTAGGTAGAGTCTTTCAGATGCCTTTTGTGATAGACTTCCATCAACGGAGGAATGGATACAGAAACTGTGGTATTTTTACACAATGGAATACTACTCAGCAATCAAAAAGGAAGAAATCATGAAATTTGCAGGCAAGTGGTGGGATCTAGAAAAGATCATTCTGAGTGAAGTATCCCAGAAGGAGAAAGACAAACTTGGTATATACTCGCTTATATAGACCTACAAGACATGATAAACATAATGAAATCTACACACCTAAAGAAGATAATCAAGAAAGTGGACACAGGCGAAGGTGATTAATCCTCATTTAGAAAGACAAATGGGATGTGCATGTATTTCTTCTTAAGTGTTCTCTCCACCTCAGAGACTTTCTATTCTCTGGTCATCATCCCACGCATGCTTGGCAGCCTTGTGGGCCTGAGCCAATCCATCTCCCTGGAGTGCTGTGGGACACAGTTATTTTTTTTCCTTGGCTTTGCAATCACCAACTGTCTCCTGCTAGCAGTCATGGGCTATGATCGCTATGTGGCCATCTGCAACCCACTTCGCTATAGCATCATCATGAATTGGAGGGTGTGTATTATCCTGGCATCTTCAGTCTGTGCCACAGGGTTCTTGCTGTCACTAGTTCAGGCCGTGGCCATATTCAGGCTGCCCTTTTGCTACTCACTTATTGAACATTTCTTCTGTGATGTCCGACCTATTTTGGATCTGGCCTGTGCAGTGCCAATCTTCAATGAGATCTTGACATTAATTCTCAGCCTCCTGGCCATCACAGCCCCTGCCACTTTCCTATTTGTCTCCTACGTCCTCATTATTTCTACAATTCTCAAGATTGCCTCAGCTGAAGGCCGGAAAAAAACTTTTGCAACCTGTGCCTCCCACCTCACCGTGGTTGTGATTCATTATGGGTGTGCCTCTATTGCCTACTTCAAACCCAAGTCAGAGAATACCAAGGAGCAAGACCAGCTGGTCTCGGTGACTTACACTGTCATAACACCTCTGCTGAACCCTGTTGTGTATAGTCTGAGAAACAAAGAAGTCCAGGATGCTCTGAGGAAAGTGCTGGGTAGGAAATCCCTATCATAGCTGCTAATTTCTCTCCAAAGAATTTCACCTTCGACTTTTACATATAGAATATGATACGTAAAGGTATAAAGCCAGGTTTCATGTGAATAGAAGTCTCAGACATTATAGCCAGTGCCAGGGCCAGCACAAAACTGAAGCTGGGACCCAGCCTGTAATAACTGAATATCATTTCCTCAACTTCTTTGTTAACATAATAAAAACACGGGTCACTTGCAAGACCTGTACACGGACAGCCATTGGCCCTACTCCAGAAAATAATTACAAGGTCAAAGTATGATCTTATGTTCATTTTAAGCTTAAATTTAAAGGGACCAATCTATTTCTTGATGAATTATAAACCACACATTAAACATTACTCAATGGAATATTCTCTCAAAATAAATTAGATTCTTGAACAAGTGGTTAGTAGGAAGGATATGTGCAGAAATCTAAGCGCCTTCTGTTTTAATAAGATAAGCAATGCAGCACTCAAGAGATGTTTTAAGGAATGAATATGGGGTGAGTTAAAACTTTCCAGGAAAACTATCTTCAAGCAAAAACATGTGGAACTCCAAAGGAACTCACATTCCCTATCTGTTACAGGTAGACCTCAAAGTGAATAGGGTCTGAGGGAAGACTGAAGAGGGAAAGGGAAATTAAATGGAAAAAACTCCCTAATCAACATAGAATAGCATGGAAGCCTGGCAATAGCACGGAAGCCAGGCCTTATTATCTGAATACAATGGACATTGGTCTAACTTTTTGCTTCTTCCTGAAGAAAAGCTAGACAAAGGAGAAGGGCCTCTCAGGCTAATAATAAAAGCATTTTTCTTAGAAGTTTTTTTTTAAGTCTTAGAAAGGGGGAGGGTTGTTGAGAGAGAAGATTGATGAGAAATTAGTGAACAAGAAGGAAAGGCTTGGAAGAAAGCCTTCATGAGAAATTCCTGAATGTTGAGTCAAATGGGAAAGTGACATGGTTAAGGAGAAGAGGATAAGAATGAATTTAGACAAAGTCCCTCTGACTGAGCCTCCTTCTTCCTTTTGTAAGCCAAATCACCAAGTTAGGGAGTGAGGATTTTGTGGAAGAGTGAGTCAACACAACACATTTTGAAATGAATTAGATGATTCTGTTACCACAGAAAAACTAAACAATGTAAATAGTTAGAAATTCTGAGATGAAAACTTCCATAAAATTTAATTAGCTAAGTTAGAAATGAAATAATAGCAGACTATTTAGTCATCCTTACTTCAAAAAATGAAAGAAGTGAACAATAGGGTAAATTTTAGATTCAATTTGTGAGAAAAAATACAAGTGGTGAATAAAGCTTAGTAATTAGTGGGTGTAATTATTGAGCAAATCAAAGTATTTTACTGAGAAATTAACCTCAAAATATACAAAGTGTACATGAGTACACATTATCCTTTTTTTGGTAAAACTTTGTCAAAATACAGAAATATCAAATGAAATACACAAAGAAATTGTGCATTTGATATACTATGTATTCAGGTAAGTAAATCAAAGAAAATCCCACCCTTCAATCTCCTTTGTCATTCAGAGCCCCTGATACCCTAATGGAGGAAAAATTACCTATATATACTTACTTCGTGTAAACCCAGTCAATTAATGACAAATAATCTAGGTTATGAGTAAAAGAATAAAATCAGAGGTTTTCGTCTGTCCTTTTCTTCTGTTTCCCACACAATATCCTTGTAGTAAATCAAGTTCTGGTCAAAGTTTCTTGCCCTGGAGGAAAAGGAGGCTGGTGCATGTTCATTTCTCTCCGTGTTTGTTAGATTCCAGAAACAAATGAGACCCGTGGTCAACCTAGTGTTGTGCATTAAGAGAACGTTGGTTTTTCCATGTTCTGTCATCAGTATGATTTCTGCACCTCATTTCTTGCTTGTGGTCAGCCAGAAGCTGATCTACATTCACCATCCTTCCATCATTCTCTTATTGGTAATCTTAGACTGTTCAGCTGTATTTGTGGTTCTGGGATGTAGTGAACCAGAGTCAACTCGGCATCCACAAACCATCCAGTTAACACCTAACTCCTCACTTACCTCTTCCTGCCATGCCAGGAATGCCATGCATTTGAGAGACTTTTCTGGAAAGTGAAGAACATTCACCGCTCCGCCCCCCCCCCACACCATTTCACTGACAGGGGCAAGAGTCTGCCTTCCCCAGTATCCCACTTCCTTCAGTGCTGTCTTCTCTACAGGCTGTGTGTCTTTATTTTATTTAAACAGAGAACACCGAATTCTTCTCAGCTCCATAGTTTACATTATATGTTTCACACACAGAATATTTTAGAACTCAGTTTTTTAATATTCAAAATCTTTCTCTCCAAACTACAAGGGGCATGCCTCTCTAGAAAAGTTTGCTAAACTTAAAAACTCAGTTTTCAATACAAATGTTTCAGTTATGAGTTCTTAAAAGTCCTTTTGAAATGCAATTGACCTCCTGTTTGGATTCTTCTGATCTTTCACCAGGGCAAATAAAGTCCCTGAACAACATGGAATAACAATAACAATTTAAAAAAAAGAAGGAGAATTGCATTACTACCCACAAGATTTCTACTGAGAGTATGCTCCTTTGGAAATTCAAGAGTCATTTACTTGTCTTTTGGAGCCATCAAGATAAAAGCTCCTGTCCTAAGCTCACTGTTCCAAAATAGAAAACCCTGCTTTAAAAGTATAGCTCTCTTGAAATCAGGGACAAGGCAAGGCTGCCCACTCTCTCCATATCTCTTCAATATAGTTCTGAAAGTCCTTGCTAGAGCAATAAGACAGTTGAAGGAGATCAAGGGGATAAAAATTAGAAAGGAAGAAGTCAAATTATCACTATTTGCAGATGATATGTTAGTATACCTGAGTGAACCCAAAAGTTCTACCAGGGATCTTCTAAAGCTGATAAACACCTTCAGCAAAGTGGCAGAATACAAAATTAACTAAAAAAAAAAATCAGTAGCCCTCCTGTATACAAAAGACAAAAGGGCTGAGAAAGAAATTAGGGAAACAACACCCTTCACAATAGCCACAAATGACATAAAGTACCTTGGTGTAACCCTAACCAAGCAAGTCAAAGACTTGTATGAAAAAAATTTCAAGTCTCTGAAGAAAGAATTAGAAGAAGATATCAGAAGATGGAAAGATCTCCCATGCTCATGGCTTGGCAGGATTAACATAGTAAAAATAGCCATCTTACCAAAAACAATCTACAGATTCAATGCAATTCCCATCAAATTACCAACATATTTCTTTACAGACCTTGAAAGAAAAATTCTCACCTTCATATGGAATAACAAGAAACCCAGAATTGCTAAAACAATCCTCTACAATAAAAGATCTTCTGGAGGTATCTCCATCCCTGATCTTAAGTTGTACTATAGAGCAACAGTTTTAAAAACTGCATGGTACTGGCATAGAAACAGAATGGTGGATCAATGGAACTGAACAGAGGACCCAGAAATAAACCCACACACTTATGGACACCTGATCTTTGACAAAGATGCCAAAACCATACAATGAAAAAAAAATAGCATCTTCAACAAATGGTGCTGGTCTAACTGGATATCTACATGTAGAAAAGTGCAAATAGATCTATACTTATCACCCTGCACAAAACTAAAGTCCAAGTGGATCAAAGACCTCAACATAACACCAGACACATTAAATCGGTTAGAAGAAAAAGTGGGGAAGACCCTAGAAATCATTGGTACAGGAGACAACTTCCTGAACAGAACAAAAACAGCACAGGCTCTAAGAGCAACAATCAATAAATGGGACCTCATGAAACTGAAAAGCTTCTGAAAAGCAAAGGACACCATCATCAAAACAAAACAAAAACAAACAAACAAACAAAAAAACAAAAACGACTGCCTACAGATTGTGAAAGGATATTCACCAACCCTTTATATGACAGAGGACTCATATCCAGTATATATAAAGAACTAAAGAATCTGAAAAGCAGCAAACCAAGTAATCCAATTAAAAAATGGGGAACAGAGCTAAAAAAGAATTCTCTGTAGAGGAATATAGAATGGCAGAGAAACACTTAAAGAAATGCTCAATGTCATTAGCCATCAGGGAAATGCAAATCAAACCAAACCTGAGATTTCATCTTACAGCCATCAGAATGGCCAAGATGAAAAACTCGAGTGATAACACATGCTGGAGAGGTTGTGGAGAAAAGGGAACCCTCCTCCACTGCTGGTGGGAATGTAAACTTGTACAACCACTCTGGAAATCAATCTGACGCTTTCTCAGACAACTAGGAATAGTGCTTCCTCAAGATCCAGCCATACCACTCCTAGGCATATATCCAAAAGAGGCTCAAGTACACAATAAGGACATTTGCTCAACCATGTTTTTAGTAGCTTTTTTGTAATAGCCAGAAGCTGGGAACAGCCCAGATGCCCCTCAACTGAAGAGTGGATGCAGAAATTGTGGTACATCCACACAATGGAATATTACTCAGCAATGAAAAATAAGGAAATCATGAAATTTGCAGGCAAATGGTGGGACTTGGAAAGGATCATCCTGAGTGAGCTGTCCCAGAAGCAGAAAGACACACATGGTATATACTCACTCATATAGACATGTATTATAGGATAAACCTACTAAAATCTGTACACCTAAAGAAACTAATCAAGATGGACGACTCTGGCTAAAATGCTCAATCCCTCTCGGAAATGCACAGAAGATGGACACCAGAAGAAGAAGAAAAGAGGAAATAAGTTAGGAGCCTCCCACAGAGGGCCTCTGAAAGGCTCTGCCCTGCAGACTATCAAAACAGATGCTGAGACTTATGGCCAACTGTTGGGCAGAGTGCATGGAATCTTATGTAAGAAGTTAGAAATAGTAAGATCTGGAGAGGACAGGAACTCCACAAGGAGAGCAACAGAACCAGAAATTTGAACACAAGGGTCTTCCCAGAGACTCATACTCCAACCAGTACCATGCATGGAGATAACCTAGAACCCCTGCACAGATGTAGCCCATGGCAGTTTAGTGTCCAAGTG